AACATTTAAAAAATGTGAATAAGCAATGTAAAGAAAAGGTCTACCTTTAATATTTGTCAATCAACTGATAAGAGATAAGCAAATGTGACCTATTAGTGAGTCTCAAACCAGTGTGCCTGGGCACCCTGGGGTGCCTCAAGATCTTTTAAATGTTGCCACAATGTATAAGGAGATAAGTGCAGGCTCAGGCTCACTCCTGTCCCCTCTGCAAGGAGGTAACCACTGCAATAAATAGTTTTTGATATATGGTGGTGCCCCATTTGCAAATTATGGAGGGGTGCCTTGAGTCAAATGAGGGCCACCTCAAGTCTAAAAGAGGTTGAGAACCACTGTATTAGTTAACAGAAATCAAGGTGACAGTAGATTGAAGTTCAGTTTGTTGTAATACTACGTATCTTTTCACACTGTTCTCACACAGCACATTTATGCCAAGCATAGCAATTGATGATGCTCTTAGCTAGTCTTTTCCTTGCTTTTAATTTTAGCTGCAGAAAGCTCCAGTCATCAAGATGGGCATGCGTTTGCAGGAACTTGTGTTGCAGTTCTGCTGGTTAAATATATACAGTTTGATATTGCAGATCATAAATCCTACAGACTGTGCATTGCAGCTGGGTCAATAGTAATGCTAGAATTTTCACTTCTGTATTTCTTGATTAGCTATGCAGCATTAGTGCTGGTTTAACACTCCTGCTGATCCTATACAAGGATGTATGAAATAGGAGCACAAGCTTTACTAGAAGTCAGAGGGACTTGGGTTCCTAAGTTACCCAGGTACTTTAAGCATGTGGTAACTTTTAATGCACTACTTAAAAATAAGGACTTTAGGGCAGCAGGACTCAACCTATGATTATCACCACCAGGAGGCAGCAGCTTAGGATCTTGAATGGGGCTGGGGCTGCCCATGCATGTCCTGATGCTGACAATCAGGTGATTGTCAGCATGGGACTGGAACATACCACAGGTTCAATTTAAGTTACCTTGCAAGCCAGTGAAAAAGGTGTTCTTCATTAGGTGGAATATCTTTGGGTATAGTTTGCCATTTTATGACAGCAAAAATGTGTGGTATATTGCCATTTATGGCACAAGTGGCAACATTAACCACACTGTAAATGTAATGTCTGCCAGGGCCCGTGGCCAATGATGGAAAGGAAAACAGTTTTCATTCCAAATATTACCAACATGCATTGCAGGAGTAACTCATCCTGCTCTCTTTTAAGAGGACAGATTCTACCCAGGGCCCCCTCCTGTGCTTTGCTAGTTAGCACAGTGATCCACTTGCACTTTAGACTGTGACCAAGTAAACAACCAAAGCATTTTTGCTGGTCTTCTCCAAACTTTCTCTATTTTGTCCCTCACCTTTGTATGACCACAAGTATCCAGAAGCAACTCTCTCACACTTGCAGTGGCACCACAGTTGTACAGAGCTATTCTGAACTGGAAAATGAAAGACCAAGGCTTGTGACCCGAGCCTAGTATTACACTGGCTTTCAGTTGCCCTACCACACTACCACAAGCTCCTTTAATTTGGCTTTCATTAATATGCCTGAGGCCCTCCTGTTCACTGCTTCCCAATTTCTCTTCTCCCAGAGAGTACGTTATTTAGATGATACTGTATTCCATTCTTTAAATCAGTTGCATCATCCCTGCAGTCCAAATCTCTGTAGGTCTTCCCTTGTTTAACCAGTCTTCCCAACTCCTCCCAGATTCACTATCATCTGGGAACCTTTTCCACGTGCTCCCTCCTCTCTTTCTAGAGAATCATTATTTCTTGACATTATTGTAACACCACAAGGCCCAAATCAAGAAAGAGGCCATATTGTGTTAATTAAATGCAGGAGATATACATCATTGAAGGGAGGCAAGCATTTTTGTAGGTGATATCTTTTATTGGATCAGCTGCATGGTTGGGATAGACTAAGATAAGCTTTCGGGTACCACAGTACCTTTCCTCAGGTCTCCCTTACATCACTGAAATAAGCCAAACTAGACAATAATACTCACCCAAGTAGTGCCTCCCAGATCAGCATAGTGTAATTTATTACTACCCCTGGTGACAGCCCTTCATCCAGTAGTTTCTAACACCTGAGTGAACTCATATAATCTGGGACAGGAACATGAATGATAGCAACAAATGCTTTCCCTAAGGTTCAGGGTCACCATACACAAGACATGCAGCAAGTGTTAGGCTTGGAGTTAACTGGAGATCTCCCAGGCAAGCCACCCTCACTACCAGAGCCAGAGGTAATGTTACAAGCTTCCTTGGACAGACAGAAAGACAGACCCATATTGCAAGCAGGCCTGCTGCCTTATCCCACAAACACATACACTCACCCCCAAACATCCTGACCCTCCTCACAGACACTGAACTCCATTAACAAGTGACCCAACTTGATGCTCAAAAAGCTCTGTGGCTGAAGGGTCTTCCCACAAGCTACTGGGCCCACCCAGTGTAAAAAGGCTCATGTCCTCTGAAATGAGGCAGGCTTAGCTACACTGGGTTCAGGCTAAGAGGCATGACTAAGGACTTGGGGCTGCAGCATTCCCTGCAGAGATTTCATTTTTACTGTATTTCAGATAATACAGTAGGAGGAAAAAAAAGGCAGAAGGTGCTTTACCTGGAGGAAGTGAAGCTGCCAGTAACAGACGGCGAAGAAGGTGGGGTGGGGGAAGCTTCCTTCACAGCAGGAGACACAGAAGGTGGGGTAGAGGAAAGGACACTGGAACTAGAGGGAGCTGCGTCATCGGAATCACCTTAAAGAGAAGGATTCAAAGTGTTGGACTGTGTTCTTCACCTGCATCCTCCCTGCTGGCAACCTCTGGGCAAAGCAGAGGGTGGCTGGGGATCTGAGCTTGACATGTGCTTGAGTCATCCCATCTCCTAAACTTTGCCACTGTATGCCCCGGGGTTAGTCATCTAACCTGCTCTCAATGTCCATAAAAAGAAGCCACTGTACCTCTCTCACATGGGTGTTTCGAGAGTCATTTAGGGCCTGTTCTCCCCAGAATATCACAGAAAACACTTTGTATAAAAAGTTCATTGCTTCCACCCAGCCATCTCTGCAGCATAAGCTGCTTGTCCTCTACAGCTCTCCTGGAGCTCTCTGCAGGGTCTGTATAGCAGACCAGGGCACAGCCAGGGATAGGACAGAAAGACTGGAGCAGTATGCAGCACTGCCCCCAAACCCCACAAGGAATCCACAGACACCAAGGTAACATATACATTAGCTTTTCTATGGAGCCCTTTCTCTGCTAGCCCATTAAGAGGGCTTCTTTTTGTGTCAGTGGTAGGACTCAGGGCAAACATGCAAGCTGGTTGCAGGGAAGGCAACCACGAGGTTTAGAAACCAAGACCCTTTCCCTCATCCCCTCCTGATAGAATTTGGAGAGAATTTCACCAAAAGAAATCCTCCGTGCTTAACATCTGTACAGCCTCAAGACACTCTAACAAGATGCTACAAGTACAGCAAGAGCCATATAGTTTTAATGATATGTTTTATCCCTGAATGACAAGCAGGCTACATCCCCAAAACACTAAGGAGTTAGGCACAGTTGCAGAGCAGGAGAGAAATTAAGAGGATATGGAGCCTCAGAAGAGTGGGCAAAGTTGTTCCAGATGGAGACAGGGGCCATCATACCAAAGTGGTAAGAATCTAGGGAAGAGCAGAAGTGAGCCTCAAAAATCACTTACAGTAGAAACAGACCTACAGTGCCCATGTAGTCTTGCCTTTGCTATAGACTATTCCCTGTCTTAATTCACCATCTGAAGATGGATATAACTCGCCCATCTCTCGTGGGTATTGGGAGCCTGATTTAAGTGTTTGTACAGGGGCTAGTGGGGATCATGGGTAAGAGACAGTAGATCTAAACCCCAATCACTATCATCACTATGCACAATTAAGCTGGCTGAGTTTATAAGGCCTTGCGCGCTCAGCTTGTGGCACTACTGCTTGGATATGCCATGATTTCTGAAGACTGTCTGATGGATTCTATAATTTTACAGCCCATTCAGAGCAACAATGAGGAGAAGCTTATTGATGTGAGTGACAAAAGAAGTTAGGGCCACATAGAGCCCTTCAATGGCAACACTACCAGCTTCAACCACTTCTGCAATAGTAAGGTCCCCTCTATGCGACACTGGTCAGGCCGCAGCTGGAGTACTGCATCCAGTTCTGGGCGCCACACTTCAGGAGGGATGTGGACAACATGGAGAGGGTCCAGAGGAGGGCCACTCACATGATCAGGGGGCAGCACGGCAGGCCCTATGAAGAGAGGCTACGGGACCTGAACCTGTTCAGCCTCCACAAGAGAAGGCTGAGGGGAGATCTAGTCGCCATTTACAAACTGATCGGGAGGACCAGCAGGCATTGGGGGAGTCCCTGTTCCCCCAAGCACTACCAGGAGTGACTAGAAATAATGGTCACAAGCTGGCAGAGGGTAGATTCAGACTAGACATCAGGAGATGCTACTTCACTGTCAGGGCAGCTAGGACCTGGAA